ATTGGGTTTTCCTTTCTGGTTCTAAGAACCATCGCCAGGGCTAAATTTATGCCAGGCCAGAAAGTATGAAATCTATTGTCTGCAGGACAGTTTTGATTTACTTAGTGAAGTTGCATTCTTTACTATCAACACTGCAGGCTGACAACTGAGTCTTCTGTCTTCTTAGAGCCTGTAGCACATGCCATTAAGATAAAAAAAAAATTAACATTACTTCAGCTGCCATTGCAGATTTACTCCTAAGATTGCACAATACACAGTGGTTATTATTGCCTGAGATGCCGGGGTTTCCCTTACTTACCTAGGCAGAACAGACCATCAAGTAATGGGAGACCAACCCTCTCCATTAACCCAAAACTTTGAGGAATACAAGACTCAACTGAACTTACCTCACAGCATAGAAGGTGATGTCACAGCAGGCTGACAGTCTTGGGCTGGATAAATTTTCTTGCTTTCTTCTTCTTCTTTGGCTTTTCGGTTTTCTGCCATGCGCAGCAAGCGTTGTCTCTTTCAAGTATCTGGTAGCAACGGCGCACTTGCTCCTCCCTTCAGTCTGCAAAACTAGACAACTAAGATCTTTCACAGGTCAACAGCCACACCTAGCATTAAAAATGGCCGTTGGGGTTTTAGCACTATTATAATAAAGAATGGTCCAGTCAAGCAACTGCCAAAGAAGCTAACAACAAAAACCCAACGAAGGACCTCCAAGACCATTTCTACCAACACCGAAAGAAGCCACTAGACTAGAGCACAAACTGAGAGAAAACTGCACTCCCTATCAGCACTGAAGATGTTCCCTAATTTCATAATGAAACCTCTACAAGAAAGCCACCTAGCTCAGAGGGCATCAAGAATGCCTCATTTCAACTGTAAGCCTGGCTGGTACAGGCATTATTTCTTATGGAGGTGATCCCAAAGGTTTCCTTTGCAGCCTGAACCACACTGAGGGGGTCCTCAGGCACTGGAGGAGGCTTCTAGCTGGGTGCAGTTGTCTCTTCCAGTGTGATTCGCCCTCAGTGCTCTCTCTCAGGGACTGAAAGGGTCCCCCAAGGATGACCCCAGAGAGGACTTCCAGTGTGAGTCTCCCACCCTGTCTGCTCAGGGACTCAATGAGACAGGCAGTGGATGGACTCCCGGGCTCATTCAGTGTGACCATCAGAGTGGAAGCTCAGGGACTGAAAAACCTCTAAGCAGGGGCATCACCCCCATCTCCAGCCTGTGTTGGAATGTGGAATGCGCTCTGGTTCTAAGAACCACAGCCAATAGCCAAATTATGCTAGGTCAGAAATGTTTCGATACTTTTTATCTAGGTTTGTCACATTATGACTGCTCTTTTTACTATCGATATGTTGTAGGGTTTTTTTTTTAATTTTTGCTAAAGCAAGCCTTAAGAGTAAACTTTAGCAAGGCCCAAATATTTTTGCAGTAATAAACATAATAAACAGTACCTGCCAGGCTTCCTAACTTTCACGATATACCTGACAATGAATTAAACCACCTGTCTTACTGTTGATGTCTTCTTCTTCGTCTACAGGTCAATTTGGATTAATGCCTTTGAAGAAAAAAAAATCACTGTCACCAAATGACCAACAGATGTTCAGAGGCTAGAATATCAATAAAGTAATTTTTACAAAGGGACTAATGAATTGGAAGATTGTGCCCTTGGTAATACCTCAGACCAACAACTAGTTCTGTACATCTTTTGCTTCTTTTAAGGAACTGTAACTAAAATTTCCTCAGGTTGCCAGAGTTAACTTTATTCAAGGAAGTAAGGTCAACTCCCAATATTGAAGCTGTTTTTCCTTTGAGCTAATTTTAATGCTTGTTCATCTGTGGTAATTTTGCCCTTTTAACTGCCCCTGGTTAAAATTGCCTCATGTTTATTTGTGAGAGTAAACTCAGCTCCTGGGCCTGAAGTAATTTTAGTTAACTTTCTCCTCTACCTACTTGAAGTACTTTTAGTCTGCAAGGATATAGCTAAGATTACCTCAGACTTTACTCCAAAGCTAATTTTAACTCTTATTCCCCTGTGGTGGTTTGGTCCTTTTAAAAGGACATGGCTGAAATCACCTCAGGCTCCACCAAAATTTTATTCTAAGAACTTGGCTACCTCAGACCTCAAGAATTGTTACCTCAGACCTCAAGAATTGATATTTCAAGAAAATAAGACCAACTCCTAGACTTCAAGTAATTAGTTAGCTTTTGCCTTTGGTTACTTGGTTAGTATCTACATATTTTGCTTCTTTTAAGGACTTGAGCCTTGACTAAAAATATCTCAGGTCCCAAGAAATCACTTTATTCTTAAGAGCAAGGTTAGCTCCTGAGGTAATTTTATTTTTACCTTTAAAGCTATCTTTAATTTTGACTCTCCTATGGTGGTTTTTAACAGGGCATGGCAGAGATTACCTAGAATTCCATCAATATTTTATTAAAAGTTTGAGCCTTGGCTGAAATTACCTCACAATGCCCCCAAGAGTTGGCTTTATTTCAAGAAAGTAAGGGCAACTCCTGGACCTGAAGTAATTTTCATCAACTTTTGCCTTTAGTTGCTCAAACCAACTAGTCCTCTACATGTTTTGCTTTTTTTAAGGAGCTTTGACTAAAATTTCCTCAGGTCCTCAGAGTTGACTTTATTCAAGAAAGTAAGGGCAACTCCAGATACTGAAGCTATTTTTCCTTTAAGCTAATTTTAATGTTGTTCACCTGTGGTAATTTTGCCCTTTTAACTGCCCCTGGCTAAAATTGCCTCCTATTCCTGAGAGTGAAGTTAAAATCTGGTAAATTTCTTACTCAAGTAATTTTAGTTAATTTTCTCCTCTACCTACTTGAAGTACTGTACTTTTAGTCTCCAAGGACATAGCTATTACTACCTCAGACTTTACTTGGAAGCTAATTTTAACTTACACCTGTGGTGGTTTGGTCCTCTTAAAAGGGACATGGCTGAAATTACCTCAGGC